GCTTTCCACTAACATGTGTGGTGGAATTACACCAATATGTCATTTCAACAGAGTCACAGGTGCATTCAAAGCTTTTTAGTCCATGAAGGAGTTATTTTCACGGCAAAAACTTCCAAAAACGTAACTTTAACACACACTGATGAGTTTTTGAGGGTTTAATCGTGGCCTAAGAGAGACTTAGGGTGTGCATAATTATGAAGCAGCTTCATTACTTTTTGGTGAAATGGGCCAAAAGAAGAGATTTTGACTGACACTGAAAACGCTCTCGCATTAGCTCATCCACTGAACCGTGACCACCGGACAATTAGAGCTTTTGTTGCAAATAGCCAACTGACTTACAGATTTTAAAATAAGTGCAAATTAGGTGGAAAAGACTTGGGGACGATATAACACGAGGCTACTGAGAAGCCACGGTCCTTTCATGGCAACATATTCCAGAGCAACAACCTATAACAACAACCCACATATAGAAGACTGAAACAGATTTTTTTTTAAAGGTTTTATGGACAGATGGAATGAGAGTGAGTCTTGATGGGCAGGATGGACGGATCAGGGTCAAGCAAAGTGGAGGAAGGGTACAGGTAATGACAGCTCTCTTTAAAGGTGAGCTAGTTGGACCTTTTTGAGGACAAAACATCTACTTCCAAACCTGCTGCCAGTTCCTAGAAGACACCATCTTTAAGCAGTTGTACATGAGGACATCTGCAGCGTTTAGGAAGGTCATGACCTTTACGCTGGACAATGCTGCCTCAAAGATGATCGAATAATGACTCGGATAGTACCGAGAACTTGTGGTCCCTTCTCAAATGTGGAATTTACAACAAGGGAACACGATACATCTCTCTGAACAGCATTTGTGAGGCTGCGGCTGCTGTTTCAGTGAAAAATGATCACAGAGGCTCACGGCAGCTACAGAAAAGACGGACGAACATGTCCGAAAGGCCAAAAATGTTATCCGGACGTCATTTTATGTCACTTTTTTTTTGTTTCAGGTTCTCATAAGATTGAAAATGAACAACTAAAATAAGATAAGACAAGATAGAAGTTTATTAATCTCAAAGGAAAGAGGATAGATAACAAACTAAAAGTGACAAAAACACAAAGAGCAATTTTGGCCGACTGCTGCTCAGGCCGACGCTGGACGTAAGTTGGGAGGAATTGTTTTTTAGTTCTCTACTTTTATTGCTACCTAATAATTGCGTACACTTGTTTATTTGTCTGAAAACTCCCATTTCTTTTTCGGGTTTGAGGTTCAGAAACATTTTAGACTGACTGAGAGCGTTGTGTTGCTTCAACAGTAAGATTGCTCCTCAGGAACAACTTCTCTAATTACTGATCAACTCAACTAGATTATTTTAACTGCTGATTAGTTTTACATGCAAAACATTTAATGCACTGATAAAACACGATGCATTATTAAATAATTAAAGGCCCTGCACACCTACAAAGTTGGCACTCAGAAGTGGTCATTTATGCATAATAAATGTGTTTGCTTGCGATACATTAAGCACTCAAGTGGAGCAGAATTTTTAATTAAAGACTTTTTTCCTCGTAAGCGGATGAAAGTGAGGTAAGTTAATGATGTCTGCTTCCACCACTGTGAACTTAATGACACAATAAATGACAGAAATATATTGTGATACGACTCCACATGCTAAGAGTTTACTTCTGAAAGTTATTTGAGATTTAAAAAAAAAAAATTGAGACGCAGCAGTCAATGTCTGAGTGGTTTATTAGAATAAGAAAGTTGACATAGAGCAAAGTCTCCATGAGGAGTGACAGGCAGAGCTCAGGACAATGTGGAGAATGGTGAACAACTGCTGGAGTGTGTGCATGTCTGTGTGTGTCTGTGTCTGTGTGTGTGTGTACTGTGCAGTTGTCGGAGGGTGCATGCATGTGTTGCTTTTTTTTTTTTTTTGCGTGACGACAGACAGATTTCTTCGCGGACACAAGCACACACACACTTGCATGTACTGTACAAATTTCACACGTCGCTACTTCTGTACACACACAGAGGCTGTGTCGTCATGCAGCTACTGCACTTAAATTACATGTAAGCATTAAGGTTATGTACACGTAGTAGGGACATGTGTTGTCATCTGATGACAGCCTGACAGGCCCCCCACCCCCCTGGAGTGACTGGGTCGGGGGGTAGGGGTGGTGGTAGTGGTGATGGTGTCCAGCCTCTGGACGGCGGTAGGGGGGGGGTCCTTCACAGTAGCAGGAGACTCCACTCTGCAGGAGAACAAAAAACCTCCTTTTCAACCTCAGTCTTTATGGGTTAATCCACTCTACGTCCTCCTCTTCCTCTTTAATTCCCGTCGGATTCAAACAGGAACCACAACACCTGGGTGCTGCTCACAGTACTGCTTCATTTATAATATTAATCATGATAGTCATCAGGGTTCATTGTCGTCATCAAAATCCGGCACACCAGAGAATTGAACTTGAAAATCATACACGATAATATTCCATAGAAACCAAATATCTACCACGGAAACAAACGATAGAAAAGAAAACAAACATGACAGAAAAGAATGATCAGTGCTGACTAAATACATCTACAACTTTACAAAAATGCAAATGTTGATTTTGTTTTCGCCTTGTTTTTGTGCTTTTTTTTTTTTTGTCTTTTTTTTGTTTTCTCGTCCTCTCACACGTTGGCTTGGAAGGGAGCAGTTTTTTTTTTCCAAGGGAGCAGTTTTTTTTTTCCATGTCGCTACTTCCTGGTTTGCGTTGTTGGATTTGAATGCGAGTTAGTCTCCTCCCTTTTTCTGGACTTTTTTCTTTCTTTCTTTCTGGGGCGTAGAGCACATACAGCACGGTGGAGCGCTGTAGGGCAAAATGGCAGTTATTGGCTGGGAGGGGGGGCATCGCATCACTGGGCCACACGGCACAAACAACCCCAACACACAAAGGCATGGTCTCTTCAGCAAGCGCACAACATGATAAATAAAAAAAACAACAAACAAAGACAGTCAGACTGGGTCACAAAGTCTGGGTGGGAATTTCGTGTGGCTACGTGCAGAATAGAGATAAAGATGGAGAATGTGTGTGTGTGTGTGTGCAGGACTAGAGGCGATATATGCTACATTAACACACACCAAAAAAAACTCCAAACAAAATCACTTCTAAGCACAGGAAAGCAATTTACCGCATGAGAGGCTTCGAAAATGTCTAAAAAAAAAACCTGTTACGCATTAAGGATTTGATGTGAAATAAAGTGGGGGTTACTTTGATTTCTGTTTCTGACTCATTAAATTAACCAGCTCACCGTTAATGGTGACAAACACAATGAAAGCCCGCATGAGATAATCTGTTAAAAAAAAAAAAAAAGGTGGGCCTTGAAAGAAGACAGAGTGCAGCTGTTTAAGGAGGAGGAACAGGAATGACATGAAGTATGTAAAGAAACAGGGAGGATGACGGCTTCAATAAACACACCGGCTTCCACCTGAATTCTTTAGCTGCCCTGTAATGTTGAAATAACCGAATTATGCAGGATAACATCGTGTACTGTATCCTTCCCGTTTCAGGCGTGAGCTCCATTTCAGATCTTAATTCAATTGCGTCCTAAATTTGGTTTGAAGGGGCTCTGTTTGTGTGTGGCTGGTGGTTAAAAGAAAAAAAGAGGTGGTTGAAGCTCCCCTCTCTGGGCTGATGTGTCTGTAGTAATCTTCTCAGGGGCTCATCAGGCCATTTAAAGGGCTGGGAATGTACTTTGCCTAATCAAGCATGTTTAGTGAAACACCGGAGGAGATGCGGAGCGAGGACACGGCTGGCTGGGCACGCCGGCCGAGACAGAGAGGCCTCATTCACACACAAAACAGACACGCAGCACTCAGGCCACGGCAGAGATGGAGACACGTTTCAGGGGGGTGGTGGTGGTGGAGGAGGATTGAGAGCTCTGTATCCTCAATACTAATGACCTGTTTCAGGGCGGAATGTGTGAAGAATACACTGTACTAATGTGGCGAGGCGGTAATGCAGTAACATCACGTTCGCCTGCCTGACCTGCCCTCTCCGTCCTTGCTTTTATAAATCTCTTTCACTGGCTTGTCTCATATATTACCCCCCAGCTCTGGCTGTACATTTGTTAGGGCCGGGGAATTAAACCTCAACAGAAATGTGCTCGTAGAACTGTATCGAAAACTGTCAGCCGGTATCGAGTGTTTTTCAGATTTATGCTCTTGTTTACTCGTTCCCTCTGATCAGACAGTTCATTTACATCTAAATTTTGACAAATTTGCACCGTTCGAGTCGGGGGGAGTTGAAGCTTGATGTAGCAGAATTCAACTTTTACTGACTTTGTAGCTTTGGGTTATTGTGTTAAATGCAAAAAAAAGATCATTATGTTTCACAAATTAAGGTATAAAATGTGTAAAACAATAGCTGCAAACTAATGATGAGCGTAAAATCAAAACAGTTAATTTTGCGAGTCAGAAAACCAAAACAGCGAGTTCGAAGATGTTTGTTGTTGCATGCAATCTACTGCTAATATGAAAATATTCATTACAGCTGCCTGAAATGGAAAACAGTGGCCACATCTTTCTCAACTCAAACACTGTTTAGTCGTTTGTGCTGATCGTATCTATCATGTGAAGTGGAACCCATCTTCTTCATTTTAACTGCACTTCTTTGTGCGCACAATAATGGTTTACGGGTATTGTACAGCGCGTTCGTTTCCCATGCAAGGATCCGACACTGTGAGCACGCATTTGCGAGTGTTATGCAGCTATTAATGGCTCAATAGAGCAAAGAAAGGGGATGGGAAGAAAAAAGAAGAAGGGTAAGAATGACTGTAAATTTGATCAAAGCTGGTTTTTGCACTCAATATGAGTAACACATTCATGTATACAAGCCCTAAGAGACTCACACACACACACACACACACACACAAAAGCGCCGTCTTTACTAAACCATGACCCAGATGAACTAAAGCTATCTGCGGATCTACATTTGAATCAAGAATGGATGAAGCGCAGACAACAAAAAAAAAAACCAGACAACATCAAAAGATCACACAACGGAGTGAAAGAGTAACTCCACACCCAAGTATACCCATGCCCATCTGTTTTCTTTATCCCGCTTTTGTTGGGAAACACACTGAAAGCCAGAAAGGGATAAACCCACAAGGGATGACCATTGTGACGGTTAGCAGTGGCCCCAACCTCAACCTCAACCCCACAGCTTCTGCCCCTCAGCTCCTCCCTGTCCTGGCAAAAAAAAAACCCCCAGTGAGATGCCAGCGTGGGGGTGAAGCCGCGAGAGATGCCCCGAGTCTGGTTGGTTGTATCTCGCGTGGTGTCCTTCCTCATTGATATTCTGCGAGGCTTCGGCGGTGGGCTAGGTCCCTGACTCTTAACGGCCATTTGTTGCCGCAGTCTCCTCCTGCTTCTGGGGGGCACAAAGAGGCTCAGTGTCGGGGCAGAAGAGGCTGAATGGAGCTCCCAAGCGGCCGGGGCCTCACAGCCTCAGTCAGATAGCCAGACAGCCAGAGCTCACATTCCCTGCTTCAAAATGGACCGTGGAGCCCAGGGAGGCCTCGAGTCAGGTCACACAGACCCGGGCATACTGAGAGGCAGTAGGAGGGGGAGGAAGAGGAGTGGAGGTGTAGGGGTGTGTGGGGGTGGGGGGTAGATACTGTTCCGTTTTTCCCAGAGCTTTGCATTTATTTTCTGACGTCTCCAAGCTTCAGTTTGCTTTGCAGAGAAGACAGCGATATTATCAAAAATATCAAATGAAATCGGCTTCATCTTCATCCTTTCTTGCTTATTATTGCTCTCTTCAACTCTCCGAAGTGCTGGGAGTCACAAAAGTTACACAGGGTGACCGTCCCAACCGTCCCAACCGTCCCAACCTCTGATTGGTAAACACATAGAGCTTCAAGTAGACATAGAATAAAAATCTTTTGTCTCTCTGTGATTGTTTATAAAAAAAGAAAAGAAAAAAAAAAAACAATGTTATCATCACCAACTTCATTATATAGTTATACTTCACAGTTAAGCCAGGACGCTGGTTGGGGTTGTTGTGGCCACACATTCACTCACACACACTCACACACACACACACACGATCACAAACGCACTGCATGATTCATCGAGAGTCACTGCCCTCTGGCACAGCTACAACAGTTTTTAGTGTCATCTGAAATCCAAAGTAAAGCACATTGTTGTCTGCTGGATGCCACTGGCACGAAAAAAAAAACCCAAAACAAAACATAAGCAGAAACAAAACTTCACACTCAAAGAAGATCCATGGTGTCAAAACAGTGAACAAAATGGTGGAGGGAGACCTTTCACATTTGGCGCTGCGAGCGAAATTGTCATTTTTTAAAAATCTCCACAGTGTCCTTTTTTAAAGAAGACTCCCCTTCCTTTTGCATCCCTCTTTTTTTTCTTTTTCCACCTTTGCTGTTTTGTCCTGTGGTGTCAAAGTCACGCTCTGTGGGAGGTACCACTGACAGATCAGAGGGATGCACCTCAGATTACGAACAGGGGACGCAAGGAGAGCTTTCTCCTCTTTTTCAACTCTCTCTTTGATTCTTTTTCTCTGCGTCTCTCTCTTCAGTCAGCTGAATGACGTCAGAACATTGAATGACAGTGAGAGAGGACAGACAGGGTAAGGTTGGACCGGAACAGTGAGTCTGAGGGGTTGATTTATTCCAGTTTACTGTTGGAGGGAATGGGTTTATAGAGAGAGCTCGATGTCAGGCTTCACCTCCGGTACCTCACTGGCCACTGGGGGTGCGCTCTCCCATGTTCTTTCCTAGAAGATGACTGAAGTCAGCCAGTTCTCCCAGCCCTCGAGGCCCGTGCATGTCTGGCCTGATGAGGCCCTGGCGCTGAGGGTGATAGGGCGCTCCATTGTTGCTGTTGTAGTTGAGCGCCTCGTGACTCCAGCGAGGCTCCCCATAGTCCATGTGGGGAGTGGGAGCGGAAACCACCCTCCGCCGGTCGGGGGAATCCTGAGGCGTGGCGGGGTAGATGTATTCTCCCGCTGAGTTCCTCAGGGTGCCGGTGGGACGACTGCCACCGTGCTCCCCTCTCTGGGTGGCGAGGATCAGGTAGCGCTGGCGTTCCGTGTGCGGGGGCAGCACCACCTCCCCTGGGTCCTCTATCCGGACCATGCCCCCACCACCTCCGCCTCCGTGCAGGAACTTGGAGCTCAGGTAGATGACGGAGTTGTTGGGGCAGGGAGTCCCTACGGCAGTGAGGAAGGTCTGGCTCTGGTCCCAGTCGGAGTCTGGGAGGCGCATGGCCCGTTTCTGCTGCAGCGGCGTCTGCTCCGGGGTGGGCAGCAGGCCGGGGTCCATCTCTCCTTTAGGCCAGCCGTTGGGCGTGACGAAGGGGTTGTCTGCCTGCGAACGCCGCCTCTCCCCACCGCTGGTTCTTGTCACACTCATTACTGACCCGCTGCGGCCCTGTCCCAGCATGCTCTGCTCTTTGTCCCGTTTGCGGCGGGCGCCATTGGCTCCGGAGCCGCGGGAGTGCCGGTGGCGGTGACTCATGATCCAGCAGACCGTGAGGCCGGAGAGGATGGCTCCCGTTGCGAAGGCTGAAACAGCAGACACCACCAGCAGGTTCACAGACACCAGGCCGTCAGGCTCCTCAATGAAACTCTCCTGGAGCAGCATTCCTGCAGAGAGAAATAAAACCACAGAAAAAGAAGGCCATCAGTCAACCTGTGCAACCATCTAAATGGCATCAGTATTTCCTGTATTAAGCATGTGGGAGTTCAACAGCAAGACAAAATGACCTATTTTCTCTCTCCCCTTTGTGGGTGGGAGCGGTCACATGCTTTCCAGCCAAGGTAGCTCTGGCTAATTGCCTTCATTACGTAAAGTGGATGGTGATTTTAATAGCTATAATAACTGTCTTCCTGATTGAGAATAGCTCTCAACCCTAACATGTTTCACAACATTAGCCTCATAGGGGGAGATGCCAAGTCTGGTGCTAATGGTGAGTAATAAGCTGAAGTTTTCATACAATGAAAACCTGTTATATGTTCCATGTACAAGGGTGCTTCAAAGAGTCTCGGCCCTATCTGGAAACAACGGGTGTAACTCGCCATGACTGCACACTATAAGGCCTTATATCACTGTACGCAAAAATTCTAATGTTTGCCCTCATTTGTTTGCAGGGAATGCCCTTTGGTGATCAGCAGGTGAAAGAGAAGCCATAAAATGGACGAGAAAGAAGCCAAAGCTGTGATTAAGCACCTGCATAAAAAGTAATGACCTCCAGGGAAATCCACAGACACGGTCAACACACTTGGTGGAGACTCTCCTTGCTATTCAACCATAAAGAAGTGGGTTGCCGATTTCAAAATCAGTGACCATGGATTATCAAGAGGAGGCCGTAGACGTGTGACTGCACATAGTAAAAACCACGGACGTCCGTGTCCAGTTATGACTTCTTTCTTGTCCATTTTTGGTTTCCCTCTCACCTGCTGATTTTCAGAGGGTGTAACCTGCAAAGAAATGATGAAGAACAGCGAGTTAAGGCTGTAAAGTAGACTATTATGCCCCAAAACGGGCGTAACACTCCTTGTTTTTGGATGAAGCCCAAGTGCCCTCATACATGTTGTGTATTTTGACTTAAAACTATTTTGAGTAGCATAATTATCAGTTATGTTTATACAACCCCCACCCCAGAAGATAGATGCATCTGGTTTCAGATTTTTGTCTCGTGCACAAATAACAAATATGAGACATTTGTATTGCTTTTGGTTCAAGTAAATATACAGACATTTTTTTCTTTGCTGCATCTATATGCCAGACTTTTTGGGATCAACATAAGGCATCGTGTTTATAGATAAAGAGTACCATATCTGCAGACGAGACCATGAATTTCTGTATTTCATTGGTATAAGTACATGAGATGAACTCCCTGAGAGAGAACGGCTTATGAATTATTGAAGATATGAGTACAGCAAGACCGCAGCACGGGCAGCCATGGATCAATTAAAAAAATGCCAGAAGAAAAGTTGTTCTGTGCTGCGTGAGCTCCTGGGACCAACACAACGAATACATTGAAATTATGCCAAGGGAAGCAGATTGGAGGAGAGCAGACGAAGAAAAGAGGAGGGCGATACAGACAGAGAGAGAGAGAAGCCTAAAGCAAACTCGAACATTTGGGGCCTTAGACAAACAGTAGTAATAGTTGTTAAATTACAGCACCGATAGTGGCAGAGGGAGGACTGTCTCCACAAGGACAGCAAAATAAATCCTTTCTCAGAGAAAATAAATGGATGTCATTAATAGACATTGGGAGCCACTTACTCACTTACACACTGCACGGCAAAGAACAAGAGAAAGAATGAACGCACAGAGAACAGCAGCGATTTTTTTTATTTTTTTCCCCCTTTAAACAAACACTTTTATTATCTGACAAATTCATTTTTAATGGGGACAAATGGAGCTGGTTGTGGTGCAAATACTCCAGTATGAGACAGCCTGGTGGTTAATTAATGTGGCCTGTGGCTTTGTATAGTAAAATGTTACTCTACACATTGACATTAAGCTGAGGAATGGCAGCTAAAACCCTGTGAGAGACGGCTGAACCGCTGTGCGGTGCCAGAGGTGCTCTAGTACGTACTAAAGCAGCAGGGTGGAGGATTTAGGGGGGGATCTACTGGCAGAAATGGAATATAATATTCCTAATTATGTTTTCATTACTGCATTATCACCTGGAAATAGGAATTTGTGTGTTTTCATTACTGTGGAATGAGCCCTTTATCTACAAAGGGAGCCGGTCCTCTAGCATGGAGGCCGCCATGTTGCAGACTAAAAATTGGCACTATAGATCACCTTTTGCATTTTTCACAGCCTGGCTTGGTAGATGAGGATGAAGCAGGGGTTATTCAGTTGGTTGCAATGTGCAGTCTTACCACTAGAGGCCACTAAATTCCACATACTGCACCTATTACTATCCTACTACATAAGACTTTATGTGTTTTTGTTACTGAGGAATGACTCCCTTATATCTACAGCTGAAGCTCTAGCATGAAGTCCGCCATGTTTCTACAGCAGCCCTGCATGGAAACACCAAAAACTAGCTCCAGGGATCACATTTTGCATTTTTCACAGCCACACTTAGTAGGCGAGGATGAGGCAAGGGGTATTCAGTTGGATGCAACCTTCAAATTTGCAACTAGAGGCGAATAAATTCTACATACTGCACTTTTAAAGAGGTAGCTCACTCCAAAAACACTTTTTGTTCCTGAGGAATGACTCCCTTATATCTACAGAGGGAGCTGAGCCGACTAGCATGGAGTCCACCATGTTGCACTGCCATGTTTCTACAGCAGCCCTGTATGGAAACACCCAAAACTAGCTCTAGGGATCACCTGTTGCATTTTTCACGGCCGCACTTAGTAGGCGAGGAGTATTCAGTTAGATGCAATCTTCAAACTCGCCACTAGAGGCGACTAAATTCTACATCGGGGTGGGCAATCCTGGTCCTCGAGGGCCACAATCCTGCATGTTTTAGATGTTTCTCTCTTCCAACACACCTGATTACATGATCAGGATCATTGTCAGGCTTCTGCTGAGCTTGATGATGAGCTGATCATTTGAATCAGGTGTGTTAGAAGAGGGAAACATCTAAAACATGCAGGATTGTGGCCCTCCAGGACCAGGGTTGCCCACCCCTGTTCTACATACTGCACCTTTAAAGAGACAGTTCACCCTAAAAACACTAAAAATAAGACTTGATGTGTTTCTGGTACTGTGAATGAGTCTTGAGGAAGTGGGTCGTCTTCCACACAGTCCGCCATGTTGTTTCTGTGGTAGCCTTGAAGGGACAAACTGGCTCTAGAGCTCATCTTTTGCTTTTTTCACAATGAAACTATGGTATTCCATTGGTTGCAATCTGCGACCTTACAACAAGACGACACTAAATTCCACAGATTGGACGGTTTAAAGTGTAGCTCATCCAAAAACCACAGTACAAACAACTTAAACAATAAGTGCTGTGACTGAAACACAACAACTTTATTTTACAGCAACAGCATCAACGCCTTTGAGGAGAGAATGTCTAAAAGTTTGGACTTTATAGCTGTTTTGCATGAATTAAGATGTATGATTTAATGACGTGATTTGGACTCCAAAGACCTGCAAATGCCTTTGAACTTTTAAAAGCAGCGACTCATAGCATCTCTTGGACTTTAGCCTTTTGACTTGCGATAAGCAGACATCCTCCCTACGCATTAAAATTTATGCGATCAAAAAAGCGTTTAACTGACAATGGATGCGATCAATCAACCTGACAGCAGACCATCACGCTGCACATTAAACATTAACTTGTTCAGGTAAGCAGAAACTCTCATTTTAATTTTTCATTTTTTGGTTGAAATGTCAAGTTTCTCTGAGGACAGATGATGTCAGCTGCAAACAGAGCCTGAACGGGGACATTCCTGCAGAGCGGGCCTCTATCTGCCGGAAACTACGACTTAGCTGTAATAATGTTTTATCTTCTGAGCATAAAATGACCGATGACTGAGGACTAATATCTGCGATAAGGAAAACACGCTGCAGGTGTAATAACAGTCCGAACCAGAGTCAAAAGAAACACTTTCTACTAAAGTGATTTAGTGTAAATACCACAGCAGTGAAGAGACGTTCAGCTCGTAGCCTGGATGCCATTAAAAACACAGCTGCAACCTGAGTCTTAAACCCCTCTGCCAGAGAATGATAAAAAACACAAATAAATGGAAAAAAATAAAATAAAACAGACTCCCCGGTTTGTCTTGATGTGAGAGGAACAGATAACAAAGAGCACAACAGCTCTCCAAAACTGAATTAGCATCAAATCCCAAATCCTCAAAAAAACTGCACAAACAATATGCACAAAGGAGGGAATCTCCAAGTCTTCAGCAGATGGCGGAAAAATCTGTTAAAAACTTCACCCGGAGGTATTTAACTTTAGAACAAGCGTCCAAAACACAGTCTGCAGGTGTGTCTGCACCTGTTGGCGAGTCATCGTGGTAAGTGTGGCGACAGGATGCGTAACAAAGGAAACGAGAAAATGTTTCCAACTGTGTGGATTTTTGTTGTATGTTAGTAGCTCCTTTAAAAAGCACCTTATGTAATGTTGCTTTTTAAAATTTTGATATAATTTATTTTGCAGGGTTATTCTTAAAATTATTCTCCGGAACAATTTGCTGTCTGTGAATCAGGACCTCCAGTCAAAATAAGGTATAATCCAGCTGGCATTTTATTATGTTTCATTTACTTTAATCAGCCTTTTGTAATGCCTCCTGTTCGTTGTGTGTCCTAATTATATTTCATCGGCTTAGATTACCAATTATGCAGTCACTAAACATCCTTTTGCAATCAAAAAATATTATTTTTTACTGTTTTTTTGGGTAAACAAATGGATTTAATGAGGGATCCAAAGCTAGATTCACGTTTTGTAAAATGTTAAAATACCTCAACGCTAATCACAGGACTGACATCTAATTATTTTACATGTAATTGTGATATATCTGATTATTATTTGAAAGTAATGAGTGCATGTGTCAAACAGCATATTTGTGCTAAACTAATGTACAGTAATTATTCTTTAAACATGTTTAATTTGGCGACTTGTTTAGGAGCTGAATTGACTGACTGGAGGCTTTACAGTCAAGAATTT